TGACAGCAGGACAAGGGGAAATGGTTTTAAGCTGAGGGAAGGGAGATTTAGGTTGGACGTCAGGGGGAAATTCTTTACGGAGAGAGTGGTGAGGTGCTGGAACAGGCTGCCCAGAGAGGTTGTGGATGCCCCGTCCCTGGAGGTGTTCAAAGCCAGATTGGATGGGGCCCTGGGCAGCCTGGTCTAGCATTAGGTGGAATGGTTGGTGGCCCTGCATGTGGCAGGGGGGTTGGAGATTCAAGATCCTTGAAGTCCCTTCCAACCCTGGCAATTCTGTGATTCTGTTTGTGGACTTTAAAAGTTTGGCCATCAGCTGTAAAACTTAGGAGCAGACTCCAGCTCTTTGTTTTAAGCAGGCATGTCCAGCCCATGGCCCACAGGCCGCATGCCGCCTGCACAGCTTGTGCTGTGGACTCAGTGCCTTGTGCCATCATGGCAGCATTCACGGACGGTTTGTGAACATTTATGGAGACCAAGCAGTGTGTGTGAGCACAGCGAGGCGGTGGGTGGTGCGTTTCAGCAGCGCTGGCTGTGACAGTGGGTCCCCTCCACTGGTGCAGGTTGTTACAGGCTCTTGCTCACTGCTGCTGAAAATGCAGAGCTAATGGTGGTGACTGTGGTGAAAAAGAGTGTTTTGTAGACTCTGTGATGTTACTGTGCTCTTTGTATTAGTTGTAGTTTCCATAGAAATAGAAGGCATTACTTTCAGAGCAGCCTCCATAGATGTGGCCAGGCAACACAAAAGATCGGATGCCTGCAGTTTTGAGGGCTGCTCCAAAAGTAATGCCTCCTGTTTCATGACGTTGACCCACAGCACCGGGGGCGGATGTTGATGGTAGGGCAGTACGCTGTGAACCTTCCCACCAATATCCCGCTATGTTGTTGCATTTTGTTGCCGTGTGCCAGCTGGCAGCCGAGGGGCAGTCTGACGGGATGGCCAACACGGCACTTTGTGTTCCGCTCCTTTCCCACAGCGTGCCTCTGCCTCTATTCACACTCTTCCTCCGCTTGTTTTTAGCGCTTTTTCAAGGCCGGCAGCAGGCTGAGGTATGAGTCCTTCCCAGCCGATCGATTCCGAGGGCACGTGTATCGGTTTCCTCTTTTGTTTCCTCCTCCGGTTTGCTTTAGCACGGGGCTTACGCAAACACGGACCGCTGCTGTGCGATATAAGCTTTGCTTACCGAACTACTGTTTTGCACCGGGTACATTTTACACTTACAACTTCAGCGGCTCTTCTAGAGGGAAGGATGTCAGTGCGGATAAATCGGATATCGATCTTCTACCGCGACCCGCGGGCTGCTTTCCCCGCGGCAGCGCGGCGGGACGCCTCCCGTCCCAGCGCAGCGCCCCGCGTGCCGATCGCTGCGCCCAGCCCGCCGCTGCGGATCGGGCGTTCCCGCGGAGCGCCGCGCGCGTTGGCCGGATGGCGGCAGTGCCCCTCCACGCACGGCCCGGGGCCGCCGCTCGGCGCCGCGTTCCGGGGATTTCTGTCGAGGCGTCGGCTCGGGGGCTGGAAGGGAGCTCGGGAGCGTCAGCCCAACCCCCTGCTAAAGCAGCTCACTGCGGGAGTCGTACAGCAACGTGCCCAGGTGGGTTTTGAATACCTCCAGAGAAAGCAACTCCACCACCTCTCAGGGCAGCCCGTCCCAGGGCTCTGACACCTCACAGTAAAGTTCTGCCTCGTGTTTGTATGGAACTTCCTGAGTTCTGCTTTGGGCCCATTGCCCCTTGTTCTGTCATGGGGCACCACTGAAAAGAGCCCGGCCTCATCCATTTGACTCCCTTTAGATACTGACAGACACCGATAAGATCCACAGAATAGCCAGGGTTGGAAGGGACCTCAAGGATCATGAATCTCCAACCCCCCTGCCACAGGCAGGGCC